TATATATATATATTTTTTTTTTTAGAGGAGTTAAGACGGAAATAAAGCATTTAAAACAGCGTAAATTTAATTGCAAGCAGCCGTAGCAACATTTATCAAATACGGACTTTGATGAGAATTCTTCACAGGACGCGTGTTATGCCCAATAAATTTTTATAGAGGTCCCATACAAAATTCTTCAAGTGGTGTACGTCGTTTTTTTCCCTCCCTATTTTTCAGTTTATTTCCCTCAGAAGAGGAACAGTGTAATTTGGGGAAAAAAATGTGTTGTTTTTTCTTCCAAATCTTTTTTGCGCAACAAATTTTTTTTTTAGAAATTTGAAGAAGAAAATTGAAATAAAGAACAAAGAAAAAAATTATTAAATTATCAATACAAAAGGAGCTAGTATAAAAAGATTATGGCAGCCAGTTAGGTGAACATCGTTACAGTAAAACAACTGTTTAAATTTATCGATATCGGCAAATATGAATTGTATGGTATGCAGCATAGTTGACGTCAGTTGGTGCAAAACTCCAGTTGAATTGACGCTAATTCACTTTTCTTTCCTGAAAGTGCTAACCCGACCGTTACAAATACTTAGTATCTATCGTCAAAAATAAATAAGTGAATAGATAAATAATTAATTAATTTAAATAATAAACTGGAAGACATTTAGGAACGGATAGTTTGAGTAGAATTGTTTTTTTGTTTTCTGCAATAATAGTGGTTTGAATTTTGGAACAAAATCAGTGAAGGGAAACCTCGGAAGATTCGATAAAAGATTTATGTCACATAAAATTTAGACAGTAATGCATTTTAGCTCTTAGATCACATCCGGTTCTGTCAATTCATTATCGTCATTTTTTTACAACGCTATCGATGTTTTTAAATCATCTGCCATGTTTTCTGAACAATCTTTCTATACCCTCTGACTTTTTGCTTCGTGTACCCTTTTTTTCTTTTTTGAAAACTGTGCCTTTTTTACCTGAAACATTTCAATAAGTCAAACTTCCGAAGGTACTATATTCTGATCGACAATTCCCCGGCTCTCCATCTGCAGTATTAAAACGATAAACATTTAAAATCTGGCCACACATAAGCTGACAGTTAATGACTGTGTTATTTTGCTGAACCGTTCTCTGGTAAGCTCAAGAATACTTCTAGATAATCGAAGCTTTTTTAGCTGTACATGTCTGAAGGTATAAAGCCCTACATCTACTGTATACATTTCAGACAATAAAAAAACTAATCGCAAAACCACCCACTTTACGTAGTTTAATTCCATACAATCCATATGCCCTAAGAAAGTAACAGGGATTAAAACCTAATTGAAAAATTGAAAACTAGCAGAAAAACTAGTAAGAGAAAATGAATTAGATTATAGCCTAAATTGAACCTAAAACCTACTTTGCAGATGAAAACATCCGTAGAATAGTTGCGGTACGTTTACACTTCGGATAAGGCGCTGCAAAACTGCAAGAGCAACAAACAAAGCATTC